ACTGGCCGAAACATATTTTATTGTACCCGTGTATATTGTAGCCTACACGTGGTGTTGTAATGAATGTAACTTTTTATTTACATTTGTTTTAGGGCTACAGTTTTTTTTTTTTGTTTTCTTGGTTTCCTGTTGCTTCAGTATTTTCTCTTTGAAATCGTCGTACTACTGTGTTGCATCGCCGTCATGGCGCTCGATGCTGTAAATAAAGCGAGTACTTGACAACAACTGTCGGTGTCAGTGTGTTCTTAATCTCAGGGTCAGCCCGTCTTAACCACAACACCTCAGTGGGTAAAAGCATCCCCACTGAGTGAGGGTTACAATATATATATATATATATATATATATATATATATATATATATATATATATATATATATATATATATATATATATATATATATATATATATATATATATATATATATATATATATATATATATATATATATATGTGTGTGTGTGTGTGTGTGTGTGTGTGCGTGTGTGTGATATACAGAATATAATATTCTTCCTACGGAGATTTCCTGTTCTTATGTACATGCTACAGTTTATTGAAATCAAACATAAGTCCAATTAAATATATTCTATAATGTTTCTTTATTCAATACAAATCAATCTCCTACTATATCAATCTATACTATATACCGCCTACTAACACTATCTAACTACACAATCCCATGACCATCCCTAACACTTTATCTACCTCTAACTCTCTACATTTTTCCCCTAGCGCTACCTATCTCTAACTTCTAACTAACTGCTGACCCACGCTTCAGTGGTCATCTGACCGTCTCACGTGACCGGTAATAAGTTCCCTTTTCAGACTTGACGGTCTTTGGGGCAAGTGAAGTAGAGTTCACCTGTTCCTGTGACCTCGGCATATGAAGAGATAGTGTGGTCAGCACTATACCCAGCCGCCTCTACTTTCCCTAACATGAGTTGGTACCCATCAGAGTTGGGTGGACTCAGGACAGTCTACTGACTTGAATCCCGGATACGAACTCGAGACTTACGGGTTAGCAGTCCAGCTCTCTACCGCTAGACCACTCCGTCCCCTTCACGTGACCGGCCATCTCCTGTAATACTATTGGTCTACCTAACTACGCTATGCTCTGTTTCTGATGTCTTCTGCTTGACCTCTATAACCTAAACCTGCGTCATCACAATCATATTTAAGTTGAATTAACTTAGGCGCTTACATTTATGTTATTATGATTGGATAAAACACAACCCATAAACCATCCTCCAGACAGACTATTTTTCCCACCATTAGCGTATAAATGCATTTAATTAATTAACATCAGACATTCACAGCACAACAAAAATGCATTAAAATCAATAAGTATTTTGACAGGAGTCGGGCATGAATAAATCTACTTACCACACACATCAACATTTCTTTGGCATTTAATGTTATCACAAGATTTTTTTATAAACAAAAATTATTAAAATAAAATAAGAAAAGTTTAAACATTTTAAATGCTAGCGTGCCTTGACTTCTTCCTTTGGAGCCCCTGATGAGCTGTGATGAGCTGTGATGAAGAAAGGGCTGTAACTACACATCTCCACCAGACTATGTTTTGGACAGTTCTCTTTAGTTGCGCCCTCGTAAACCCAGCATCCCTTGCTTCCCCCTCCACTGTCTTACTCCAAGATTGCTTAAGTCGATCTACTATTCTTTTCCCCTGGGGATTCCAGTCTTAAGCTTGTCTCACGATGTTACTCTCTTCCATTCACATGGTATGCCCTATCCATCCCCATTTGTTGTCTTTAATGTCCCCATATATTGGCTGTTATCTCGTGGTTTCCCACTGGTTTTCCCTTAAATCCTAAACTAATTAATCAGGTTAAGCTCACTTTTTATTTTAATAAACATAAAAATCACTCATTCCAGAAAGCAACTTAAAAACAATTCTATCTAATAGAAAAATATTAATGACAACCTTATACCAATTTTTTTTTAAATAAGACCAAAGAGCTGTTTAACAATATTGTGAACAATCTATAGAGTAACAGCATATTCATTTCATAAGGTTAATATAAACTATATTTTTCTAACAAATTTCCAAATCTATTTCTACACTTAAAATTTGAACAACCTTCTGGTAACAAGCTAGAGTTCTTTATATTTTTTTAATTCTAAAAATCCACGTTAATCCTAATAGAAATTAAGGACAAAAAAATAACCCTAAAGTAAAGATAACTAAACCAAATGTTAGGTTAAATCAACATATGTCTTTAAATATTCCCCGTGCTGGATGAAAGACGCTCTCACACAATGAATATAAATCTGAACTTTTTACTTATAGATGTCAAGTAGAGTCTGAAATGTATGATGATTACCCCGTCTGGGAGTTTCTGATTTTCTTCTGGTAATTAATGTGTCCTAATTATCGTAAACACGGTGTTGTTGTTTGTTGTTGTTTTTTTGTTTTTTTTTTTTTTTTGCTGGAGATCAATTTGTAGCTGTGGTGTTTTTTTTTTTTTTTTTTTTTTGTAGGCTACTTTTTACTTAATCTATAGTTGTACTAGCAGTTTTTTTAATGGATTAGTTTGTACTTTTATGCTGAGCTGCCTATCTAATAGATTAATTTGTGATGTTTTTCTCATGGATTAGATTGTACTAGCAGTCGTAGTGCATTTTTTTATAGATTACTTTGTACTAGCAGCTGTATTTTTATTTTAAAATAGGTTACTATGTACTTGCAGCAGAGGCGTAGCTAGGGGAGGGCGGGGAGGGCGGCCGCCCCGGGCGCCGACCCTAGGGGGGCGCCAAAAGGGGTAGAATTTTTTTTTTAAAGCTCATTTTAAGCTGCAGTTTTGAATTATAACAGTCAAAGTAAAGAAATTTAACGGCAAAGAGCCTTTGCTTACTGATTTAGCTGTTTTCTACCTTGATTGTGTAACTGTAAAACGTATGTCCTTAAGATACAGTGACCGGAAAAAAACGCTTTCCAGCTTTCCTAGATGGGGGGGGGGGGCGCTTTTTCGCAGACTAAAATCGGAAAAATTCACACCGGATTAAGGAATAAATAACCGATAGTACTCAGAAAAGAAACCCATTGTACTAAAGCGTATTTTACGATTGTGTAACATAAAAAAAGAGTTAGTGACGTTTAAAAACCGCTCTACCATTTTTGTCCAAGATGGGGGGGGGGGCGCTTTTTCACCAACAAAAATCGCAGGATTGGTACTGGATCGGTTACTAGTTAACTCTTTTAACACTTAGAAAAGAACCAATTGTACTAATGCTTAATGTACAATTTCACTACACAGTTTTGCTAAGAAATGACGCGAATAGTTCTTTGTACGATTCTTAAGATTCTCTCAACTTCAATGTGAGAGATCAGATACTTTTACTTGATTGCATTACATCTTACCTGGATCACTGCAGCTTGCACCTTCTACAAAAAACACTCTAAAGCAGTGGAGTACCGAACCCCACCAGTTTCATATGCGCAATCACCGAACCTTCTTAATAGTTGTATCGTCCACAATGACAAAATCCGATCGTGAATAATATGAGTCGGGTATGTGTCTTGACCTCCGTGGAAGCCCTGAGACTGAATTACTGAACCTCTTGGGTTCGAAGGAACCCACTGTTCTAAGGAACATAGACGTCGGCAACACTTCGTCAACTCACTTGATTTTTATAAAGATCGAACGTTGATAATCCAGCCGCCCTTTCTCTATTTCAAATGATTTCCTTCATGGCTTATTTGGTCTTTTTCTCTTCCTCTTTCTCCGTGGACTTCACACAAGCACCTGCATTGTGATGTTATTTTTGTCTTCCTCATATTGTGTCCTAACCACCACCTTTTCATTCTCCAATGTCTTTAACCTTGTTCCGAACCATACAGTAAAAGATACATCATATTCAGTTATAGATCCTGATTGAATAATTTGACAATGCATTTGAATTTCACATCGATTTAGAATGTTAATACGCATTTTATCGCTGCTGATTCTAATCTGAACGTCATGGGCGTCAGCTATTATCATTAAACCGATTATTACAGCTTCTTCAACCAGTACAATTAGTTCTGCATTTGTTGTTGACTGTGTGCGAGAAGGCAGCGCACATCTGATAAATTCAAGACTTCGAGCTGTTGTGTCCGTTGGATTCCAGTTTGTTTCCTCAAGCTTGTTTCATTATACAATCAGCCAGTCAACGAAATACCCATATCGTATTCTAATGTGTTCAATAATTTGCTATTGTATGTCAATGTATGACCTTAATCTAACAAGCTTATAATCCAAATATGTACTATATCATAAAAAGATAAAACATAAAAAGACATTCCTAAACGAATTAGCACCGCTACAATTTTTTTTTCTGACATTACTGATCATCATTGCATCTTAAAGGGAGTTCATTTGGCGCCGAGTAAAGTTTTAGGGAACGACAATCATAAAGCGTAATTATTAATTTTTCTCCGGACTGTCGCATACACATACACACGCGCGCACACACACACACACACACACACACACACACATATATATATATATATATATATATATATATATATATATATATATATATATATATATATATATATATATGGGGGGGGGGCGCCAAACTGAAAGTTCGCCCCGGGCGCCGGGAGGGGTCGCTACGCCTCTGACTTACAGGCTGTTATTCTTATAGATTAGTTTGTACTTGCAGGCTGTTGTTCAGTGTTTCTTCCAGACTTTTTTCTCCGGGGGGGGGCACTTGAAATCTTCGGGGGGGGCGGTAAACTTTCTTCGGGGGGGCGGACACTGTTAAAAGTATATATTTTCTATATAAATTATATAAATTTCATTTCGTTCGGGGGGGCGGTAAAAAATTTTCGGGGGGGGCTACGCCCCCCCGAAGAGATGCCTGGAAGAAACTCTGCTGTTGTTCTTATACATTAGTTTGTACTTACAGGCTGTTGTTCTTATAGATTAGTTAGTACTTACAGGCTGTTGTTCTTATAGATTAGTTTGTACTTGTAGGCTGTTGTTCTTATAGATTAGTTAGTACTTGCAACCGTGGTGACCCCGGTGACCCGAGCGACCTGGTCGGGTAGGTAGACGGCAGCGTAGACCTTGGGCAGGAAGAGAAACACCAGCGCCACCGTGTGGTTGAGGATGAGCGAGACGGAGAGCAGCAGCACACGGACGTACTCACGTCCAGCCGTGAAGTAGGTGGGGATGAAGGCCAGCCAGATGACCAGCGTGGTGGACACGCACATCGAGATGAACCGGGACTCGTTGAAGTTGTCCGGAAGTTTCCGGCTCTTGAAGGCGAAGACGGAACAAAGGGAGACAAGGACGAGGTTGTAGGTCAGGAAGGTCACGAGGCCAGGGAAGGTCAGGTCACAGGCGAGCTCAACGAATTTTTCCGTCGGGACGGTCTGGGTCTTCTTGGCCGTTGGCTTGTAGGTCAAGGTTATGTAGACACAGAGGACAAGCTGAGGAAGGGAGAAGTGCATGATTTAGACACTTGATTTAGACACTTTATTTAGACACATGACTTAGACACGTGATTTTGACCAGAGTTTCTTCCAGGTATTTCTACCGCCCCCCCCCCCCCCCCCGGAACGAAATGGAATTTATTTAGAAAATATATAAATTTTAACAGTGTCCGCCCACCACCCGAAAATTTTAGTCCGCCCCCTCCACCCTGAAAATTTTAGTCAACCCCCCCCCCCCCACACCAAATTTTGAAGTGCCCCCCGCACCCCCCCCCCCCCCCCCCGCGGAGAAAAAAGTCTGGAAGAAACACTGATTTAGTCAATGTTTTAGACTCGTGATTTAGGCTTGTGATTTAGACACGTGATTTGGACACGTGATTTGGACACGTGATTTAGACACGTATTATAAGCACTTTATTCATGCTTTTATTCAACGTTATAGACATGTTTCAGACACATGCTCTCCCACCCCTCACACACAAACACACACACACACACACATACACATACACACACTTAACCCCCCACCGCCGTATCGAATCATGAGCTCGTGACGCATCTATCAAGTCATCTTTACGATGTTGACATTCAACACCGGAAGCCACTAGTCATGTTAACGAGCGGTGTTAAGGTCAAGGTTCAAGATTTATCAATCCCCTGAGCGTTTCATAAGGAATCTGTGACGTACGGATAATAGACGGATTATCTCTCAGGTATATCTGTGAGGGCACTGCCCCCCCCCCCCCCCCCCACCCAAAAAAATAAAGCACCACCACGAAGTATATAAATGTACGCTTGATTAGAAGATATATTTTTAACCTGTGCCACCCCCACTCCCCCAGAAATTCAAAGCCTCTCCTTGACAGTTTCAACTGTCCCTTCCCCCCCCCCCCCCCCCCCCACATCTTGAAATATTAAATTAAATTTCTGCTTAAAATATATTTCGAAATCTATCATGGTTCTAACAATGTATTTTATTCTTGTGTGGTGAATTCAAAATTCAAAACATTTTCATATAAAAAAAACAAAATGTCATATTTCTTTTGTGACTCCAATAAAATATAATGAAATTATTTTTTTAAAATTATTTTAATATCTCCATCTTAAGAATATTTCCATGTTTTCCCAATCGTCCGCTAATGAAATAACAAACATCACTTAACATTGATTTTTGTTTTTAATCTTTTAAAAATCCGGATGTCTTTTTTTAAACATTTCTAAGCCTTTATATTTTTGTTGTTATTCGCTTTAAGCAAGACATTTGTAAGATTGAAATTTATCTTAAATTAATAGCATTTCATTAAGCTTATCAAGATTTTAAAACCTAAGTTTATTCAAATATTTTAACAAGCAGCATAAACTGAGATAAAAAAAATGATGAAAGGAATAAAACGGCCGATTTATTTGCTTTTGCATTTTATATGGGAACATGAGGCATAATGAGCTAACATTAGAAGATGAAAGGTAATTGGGTATGTTCGTCATCGACCAACGGGGGGGGGGGGGGAGGGGGCGTGTATAAACACATTTTTTAATGAATATTGACAAGCAACCGTGTGAGCAGCTTAGGATTAAGCTGGCAAGGGATTAGTAGCTAATCTGTTTTGATGGAAGGGTCTATATAAGAGAAGAAAATTATGGATATGGCTTAGAGTTTCTTTCGGGTATTTTTTCTCGCGGGGGCAGCTTGATCAGTTCTATGTTATGAAAGTTTGGTATGCATTTTTCAACACCACCTCACCTCAACACCTCCAAATTTAACGCATCTCTCAATCGTATTTCATCAATACGGCTTTAAAAAATTCATCATCCCTTCCTCCCATGATCCCACCCTCCCACCCTCCCACCCACCCACCCTCCCATCATCCCACCCTCCCATCATCCCACCCACCCATCATCCCACCCACCCATCTTCCCACCCTCCCACCCTCCCATCATCCCATCATCCCACCCACCCATCACCCCACCCACCTACCCATCATCCCACCCTCCCACCCTCCCATCATCCCATCATCCCACCCTCCCATCATCCCACCCTCCCATCATCCCACCCACCCATCACCCCACCCTCCCACCCTCCTATCATCCCACCCTCCTATCCTCTAATCACCCCATCACCCCATCATCCCACCCACCCATCACCCCACCCTCCCACCCTCCTATCATCCCACCCTCCCATCATCCCACCCTCCGATCCTTCAATTTCCCATACTCCAGTGTTCCCAGCAGTCCCTTCTAGTTTTCCCTACCCCATAATCCCTTCCTATTCCCAAACGTTTTCAATACATAACATACCCACCCACGCTTTCCTTTTAGTTATGCAAATAACTATGCGTTGTTACATTTCAAGAAAATAATTGCATTTTATCCTTTTTTTCTTGCTTGAATAAAAGCTTTTTATTATAAACTTTGATTAATTTTTTATTATCTTAACAGTCAATCGGACAGATTAAAGCTTTACCAGAGGCGTAGCGAGAGCGGGACGGGTGGTGCGGATCGCACCGGGTGACACCATTTAGAGGGGTGACACCAAGGCAAAAAAAATGCAAAATGTACAGAAGAATAATGGGGTTTTTTTTTGCCAGTAACAGTTCCATTAATGAATAATTAAAACGGTTTTTTAAGTAGGCCTACAAATCGACAATTATTCCAAGGGGGAGGTGAGACACCATGACGAAAACGTGCTAACTTTAGAGAAAACAATGCTATTAACAGATTAAAGATAAACGTCGTTACTATTACGTCTGCAGTCATTAAAGCTTATAAACATACATGTACGCGAATGTGGTATATATTTAAATTATAGGCTTATGTAGGCATATATATATAAATATATATATATATATATATATATATATATATATATATATATATATATATATATATATATATATATATATTTATTTATTTATTTATATATATTTATATATATATATATATACTTTGTTTCTTCAGGCAGGGGGGTGACACCACGAAGTGCAGCACCAGTGACACCCTACATAGCGACGCCACTGAGCTTTCAAGTTTCTGTGACCTTATCAAATGAAGGGATTGTGTGGTCAGTTCTATGCCCAGACGTCTTTACTTTTTGTTGTCAGGTGTCCGTCAGATTTAGATGGACTCATGGACATACTCCGGTCTAAAATCCGGGTACCGAACATACCACTTGAAGTTATGACCAAGAGAGCAATTTTTTTTTTTACAAACACGTCATACCGACCTGACCCTCACCTAACTTAAACCGTATCTTGAATTATCTCTAACCTTAGTAAACGATGTATAATTTTTATGTTTGTACTCTCTGTTTGCACGTATCCAAGGATCAAAGGTCACAGGTATGTGGTATCGATATGTTAAACATCTACCGCTATTTCAGTAAGGTCTGGATGTAGACTGTAAACATATCGGAAATCGTTGTAACTAAATTTACGTTGTGTGTGTAAACCACATATCCCTACCGGAAGTTTCATTTTTGTTGCGGTTCCGTTGTCCTTATTACACTTATTCGGTGCCGGATTTATAGATAAGCTACGCAAAGGTTATCTATGCCTAGGGTTATAGCTTTCTTGCTGGGGGGGGGGGGGGGGAAGTATCATTATAAACCGTAGTGAACATTTTGTCACGAAATAAATTTTTATTTTGAACATTTTTTTTTAAAAACCGTAGTGGAGGCCGAGTTCTTTTTCCTCTACAATTACAAAAACCGTTTTTTTTTTTGTGGGTAAAGTTGTTTTTTTTAATTTCTCGTATAAGTAGTGTAGTGTAATCGTGCAAAGAAAATCGAAATCGAGATTTTCACAAATTACGACGTATTACACCTCCCTCAGTCGGAAAAACTTTTGCAATTTTGTCCGTATGTCCGTGTGTGTGTGTTTCTGTGTGTGTTTGTGTGTGTCTGTGTGTCTGTGAACACGATAACTTGAGTACTGTTACAGTTAGGTTGATCAAATTTCATATATAAGTATTATATCAAATTTGTAGTTCTATATCATCTTTTTCAGCGATTTCCGGTAACCGGAAGTGGAACTTATTCTACTTTTGCCATTTCAAAAGCCTATAACTTGAGTACTGTTTGAGAAAAAGACGAAATTTTACATGTAAGTAAAAAATCTAATTCTCTACATTCTGTCAAATTTTGAGTAATTTGCGCTGATCGGAAGTATTACTTTACGCTATTTCCGATTTCTCAAAAAACTCATTTGAATATATAAAGTAATAATATTCCGCAATATTATACCAATTCTTTTTTGTATGAGATTCTATTCTACTTTTAAAAGTTTATATAATTAAAAATCTATTTTAAAAATAATATAAAAAACGTTTTAATAACAATCTTTAATGTAATAATGCAACGAAAAGGAGAAAATAAATGATTATCTTTAAACATATTATACTACACTACTATTTAAATTACTATAAAGAAAAGAGTGGATCACTATTATTATCTATTTGGTTTATTTTCTCCTTTATATTGCATTTTTACTGTCACGCAATAGACTTAACCTAACCCATCTTTTAGAAAACACAAGCAGTGTTGATCCAGTGACATTTAGCCTATAATATCTTTCTTCTTCTTCTTCTTCTTCTTCTTCTTCTTCGTTCTCAATTGCAATTTCGGTAGGAATTTCCTACAATACAATTGAGAATTACATGTCAATTTATGCGCCGTATAGGCAATTGAACATCTGCCAAATTGCTACACTAGATGTACATTACAACAAGAATCTACATCATAAACGGTCAGAGAAGTATCAGGGCTCAGCGTGGTTCAGTCGGTAAAGCACTTGGTTTCTTAACCGAAAAGTTCCGAGTTCGAACCCTCGATAGCTAGGAACAGCAACCCATCTAGGAGAGACAACTCCGAAATCAAACAACTGCTGCCGTGTAGGTTGTTCTTGGACAAAGCTATGGAAGCAAATCCAAAGAGTTCAACGCCCGCATAACCGGTTGGCACATAATAGTGTTGGAAGAAATCCCATCCAACAATACAACTGTTAATGGCTAATTTTACTCGCTAAAGAAAACACGGCTTTAATCTTCCCGTGTCGATTGTATTGGCGGATTAAAAAAAAACTAAAAATAAATTATTGTATTGATTTCCATATAGTTTTCAAAGGGACCCTAATACTTTGAATTGTGTGTATTGAAGTGTATGATATCAAAATCCTCATATTTAAAACTTGGTTATATAGTCCTTGTATTAGGACTAGAGCCCGGTATTTAGATTTTATTATTCATATATCCCATAGTTATTTTTTTTTCAAATAGATTCTGTAGCGTTGGTAATCTTTCTTCCTGAGTTGTTATCAAACGCTGTTGTTTGCTTTAGCTTTGAAGTACATTTTTCATACGGCGTTGTCTAATCAAATTATAAAGCGTTCGTCTGCTAACCAAAAGTCTCGAGTTCGAATCCCTTGCTAGAGTTGTAGCGTGTCCCTGAGTCTACTCCACCTAGTCCCTGACTCTACTCCACCTAGTCCCTGACTCTACTCCACCTAGTCCCTGAGTCCATCCAGCTCTAATGGGTGCCTGACTCACGTTAGGGAAAGTAAATACGGCTGGGCATAGTGCTGACCACACGGTTCCTTCATATGTCGAGGTCACAAAAACAGGTGATCTCTACTTCACCTACCCCTGGGCCCGCCAGGTCATAAATGGAATTTTACTAAAACTATAATAATAAAACTATCCATTATTTTGAAAACTTTCTAGTGTTAAAATATACTGAAAAAAAATGTGTTAGAACATATATTGAACAGATATCGAAAGTTACCAATGCTTAAGCTAAAGAAAACTGATGTTTACTTTTCATTTAAGTTCATTTAAAAAGCGCATTATTACAAAGGTTATTAATACACGTTTTATTTATTTGTACTGTTCTGACAAATGTGTATTGTAACGAGCTATTCACTCCGTTAATTAATGTTAAAGTTGTTAAGTTGCTGTCAGTTAGTATTATAATCTTTCGAAATTTTAGTCAAGATTCTAAAACAGTGACCAGTGTTGGAGGTACCGAACCCCACCAGTGTCTTATGCGCATTCACTGAACACTTCTTAATACTTTTATATCGTCCACACTGACAAAATCCGACCTTGAATCTTATGAGTTAGCCAGTCTTGACCTTCGCCGAACCTTTGAGACTGACTCCTCGTACGCCTGGGGTTCGATCGAACCCAGGTTAAGAACAACTGATCTAAAAGAAAATGTACAAAATGTGTCTCATGGGGGTTAATAAATCGTAGAAGATGTGGATAATGCTGGCTTGTATAAGTACCAGTTTAGGTACTAGGGCCAGTTTCATCAATGCATAATGCAATCAATGCATCAATGCTGATGAATCTTTAAAAGATATATAGCCTACACTTGAATAAATAATAGTACAAGAATTGTTTCTCGGGTCAGTTTTATCATTACAAAACTTATGAAACTGATTAACGTTTAAAAGATGTAGACAAAAATATGTGTATAAGTGCTAAGGTCAGTTTCATCATTACATAACTTATGAAACTGATTAACGTTTAAAAGATGTAGACAAAAATATGTGTATAGGTGTTAAGGTCATTTTCATCATTACATAACTTATGAAACTGATTAACGTTTAAAAGATGTAGACAAAAATATGTGTATAGGTGCTTGGGTCATTTTCATCATTACGTAAGTGCTAGGGTGAGTTAATCATTACATAATTTATAAAACGGATAAATCTTTAAATGATGTAGATATAACTACATTTATAAGTAAGATGTAGACTTAACTACCTGTATAAGTAAGATGTAGACATAACTACCTGTATAAGTAAGATGTAGGGTCGGCGTGGTCGAGTCGGTAAAGCTCATGGTTGCTAAACCGAAAAGTCTCGAGTTCGAACCCTCGGGCAGATGAGGCTCGATAGCTGGGGACAGCCAATCTTCTAGGAGAGACAACTCCAAAATTAAACAACTGCTGCCTTGTAGTTTGTTCTTGGTTGGACAAAGGCTATGGAAGCAAATCCAAAAAGAAAAGCAGGCTGAAATCGGAGTCAATGGCCTCAATGGCGCATAACCAGTTGACACGTAACGCTTAATTGTGTTGGAGGCGTGGTCGAGTCGGCAAAAAGCTCATGGTTGATAAATTCGAAAAAAAAAGTCTCGAGTTCAAACCCACTGGCAGATAAATCTCGATCCCCTTCAACACTAATAATTAAGAACGAAGAAGAAGAAGAAAGAAGTAAGATGTAGACATAACTACCTGTATAAATAAGATGTAGACATAACTACCTGTATAAGTAAGATGTATACTTAACTACCTGTATAAGTAAGATGTATACTTAACTACCTGTATAAGTCAGATGTATACTTAACTACCTGTATAAGTAAGATGTATACTTAACTACCTGTATAAGTCAGATGTATACTTAACTACCTGTATAAGTCAGATGTATACTTAACTACCTGTATAGGTCAGATGTATACTTAACTACCTGTATAAATAAGATGTATACATAACTACCTGTATAAGTCAGATGTATACTTAACTACCTGTATAAGTAAGATGTAGACATAACTACCTGTATAAGTAAGATGTATACATAACTACCTGTATAAGTCAGATGTATACTTAACTACCTGTATAGGTCAGATGTATACTTAACTACCTGTATAAGTAAGATGTATACTCAACTACCTGTATAAGTAAGATGTATACTTAACTACCTGTATAAGTCAGATGTATACTTAACTACCTGTATAGATCAGATGTATACTTAACTACCTGTATAAATAAGATGTATACATAACTACCTGTATAAGTCAGATGTATACTTAACTACCTGTATAAATAAGATGTAGACATAACTACCTGTATAAGTAAGATGTATACTTAACTACCTGTATAAGCACCAGGCCCAGTGTCATCATGACCTGTGACGTAGGGCTGATGAATCTCGGCCCAATATTCGATCTGTTTTTGAAGATACGATAGATACGCACGACTTTGATCAGCAACGAGGAATACAGTGCGGCGAAACTTAGACAGAACATGAAGTACAACACACTACACATCTGGTGTGTTGGGTACGTCTGGAAACAGATGACCGTGACGTAACCGATGAGTATTGCCAGGATCTGAATATGGCTGAGCTCTTTGCTGGCTGCTTTGATGACGCGGCTGTGACGCAGGTGGACGTACGACGCGGCGATGGAAAGCGTCAGAAAAACGGCCAACACGGCGAAGATAATCTGGAGAACTGAGACCACGCTGGAGGTGTCGAGGTGGGTGAGGGGGATGGGGGTGCAGGTGGTGTAGTTGGCGTCTGGGTCGGGCCAGGTGAAGTCTAGACAATCCTGGCACCCCTCACTGGCTATTCTCTGGTTATCCCGACACAGCCAGCAATCCCAGCAGCAGACTGGAACTTTCTGGATCCGGTACTCGCCTGCTACACACGGCACGCTACACACCGACACAGGTCGAGACATCGACACCACGTGACTAAACCCAGACGTCATGTTTAAATCCTTAACATGGCTCCAAGATATAGCACCAATGTAGGTTAAATTCCCAGAAGCTTTGTCGTAGAAAGCGACTTCTCTTTTTCCAATTCCTTTCTGCGATTCCGCTTTAAGATCTTCGTATACGGATGGGATTCGAACCGTCTCGTTGGAGACTTGGTGGATGACATACCTGCCGACGGAATCCCCGTTGATGTCAAACTGGACCTGCCCGCTGTAACCTGTAAACGACAAGTTTCGCAGGTAATGATATAAGAGCTCGCGCTTTACGCAGTCACGTGCTTTACTTCCGGTTACATTCGGGCACAAACCGGAAATAAGTTTATGTGCGGCGTGCGCAAACGCAAGAACCGCGTCCATCTGAAATGTGGCCAGGGTTTGAAAATCCAGTTTAGACATGCTCAGAGTATTAATAACTGGGTCGCACGTGCCCGCTTCAAACGTACAATTGTTTAAACTTTCCCAGTTCGGTTTGAACCAGGGGTTCGTGGACTCTAAAATATTTTGTTGTTTGATGTAGGAGTAAAATTCAGGAACAAGTGGCGCGTAGAAGGAAAAAAGAAACGAACCAATTAGCAAATCTTTAATTGAATATAAAGTTTCGACTGCTGAGTTCGCTATGGAGTCACTGGCTATCCAAATAAAATACCCAGTAGCCTTCAACTTCTCGACTGAAACCACAAGCCTAGCAAATGGTTCCTCGTCCATGAAAGCTATAACAACCCGCGATTTGTTGTGGCGTAGAAGATTCTGCGCAACAGCGTCGGTGTCGTCATTGTTTTGAACTCGGCTCCAAGTGGCCAGACAAATATGATAGTTTTTGACCAAAGATTTTATATTGTCCAACGCTCGTTCGCCGTACGTTCCTTCAATGTAAACCACGGACACGTAACTCCAACCATTATCGGCTATAAAGTGGAGCATAGCCTCGACTTGAAACTTATCAGGGCCGATCACTCTAAAAAAGTAAGGATGAATTTTTTTATCGCTGAACTCGTCCGAAGACGCGGAGGATGCAACGATTGACGTTTTGGCAACGCGGTAGAGAAAAGACACGGGGGCGGCGGTTACACTGTAGATAGGGGCCAGAACTCCAAACACGGGATAAACAACAACATCCTCCCTTACACAAGTCGTGTTTCCGTACGTCTTTTTCACACAGCTTTCATCAGAACGTGGTAAAAACGACAGCGACTGCGCCAACGACATCGCGGGAAGAGCGCAGTCGTCGACAGCGTAAAACCCCAAAGTAACATTCGGCAGCAGATCCTCGCGTTTATTTACCTCCTCCACCGCAAACGCCACGGATTCCGAGAACTCTAACGCCGTCGAGCCTGTCTGGATCTGCTCACTGCACGTGCTCCCAGACTCCGACTCGGTTGCCATGACGAAGACGCCGATGTTGATGTCCCCAGGTTTAGCATACACTTTACCAGCCATATTGGGAAACGTAAACCCGCTCATGAGAACTGAGCCGCATTTGTAAGTTACGTAGAGCATTACGAACGAAACACAAAAGAACACATTTCTTGACATTCCCGTATATTTTTCTGCCATGACTTACAAAATTTCAGTAAGTGCAAGTTTATTCGCAAATGTAAGTTGGAGTCGCCGACAAAAGAACTGACCCTTCACATCAAAACAAGGTGGTAGAACCATGGTGTGGAAGAGGCTATGTCAGTATGGTGTGAGAATCCCTTGACTCTTTAACCAGTAGCTGTGCGGCTGGCTTAAGACGTCTACCCCAGCCGTTACACCATTGTAATAGAGATAGACGTACACTAGATCGTTATCTGAAGCTGTACGTACCTCGAGGTATCTTCACAGAGACCTGTGAATACTCCATGACACTTTCTAAAATATTTTCACATAGTTGGTTTTTTTTTTCAAAATAAACACTTTATCCCAGCCTGTACAAATATCAAGAAAAAATGGAATGCAAAATAATGCTGAACTTCTGGTTAATAATTTAACAGACGTATATAATCCATGTTCTTTCTTGAATACAAACTAACAATAGAAGTATAATTTCTTTAAATCCATTATTTCTCTCCGCCCTAGGCTAGCTGTCGTCGCTTCTATCTCTAATGTGTATAAGAAATTGGACATCTCGTTTGTCGAAAGAGACGTTAAACGGAAACTTTGGCGAAGCTTTGAATCGGGCTTGCGGACAACTCTGAAACGACTTCCGGTTGCATTGTCTCCCTTGAGCGGCTAGAGGCTGATGAGAACAGTTTTACCGCGAGTGTGTGACGTGGTATCGACCGATTCACGTTCTGATTGGGCACGCGTTCGCAAAGCGACGAGATTTTTTTAAACCCCGAGATTTGCGTTGTTTCATTGCCACTGTCGTCTTTAAAATCGCTAGCATTATCTACTTCTGCATCAATGACTAACCCTAATATAAAACATAGTGATTAACATCATATTCCTAATCAACATCTGTACCGTCTTTAACATCACTAGCCTAGTCATCATTATCACAATCAACATCCATACTATTGATACCATTAAGGCCATTAACAAGCCACACAATAAGTCTCAGACAATATCAATGGGAGGGGGGGGGGGGCTATTGGCATGCTTAAACATCTTTTATATACTTTAAGTGGGGGAGGGGGGTTGGTAGGTTACTTGTATGTGTCAGAGGCGTAGCGACCCTTCCTGGCGCCCGGGGACAAACTTTCGATTTGCACCCCCCCCCCTCAAACTTTTGATTTGCACCCCCACTCAAACTTTCGATTACTTTTTCCAACCCATTTTGGCGTCCCCTAAGGTCGGCGCCCGGGGACATATGTCCCCCCCCCCCCTGCCCCCCCCCCCCCCCCAATCGCTAGGCCTCTGGTCTGTGTGGTGGATGGTAGGCTGTTTCTGTATGTATGAGAATGTGTGTCTGTGTTTATGGAAGCTTATGTGTGTATGGGTTAGGGTTAGGGTTATATGTGTGTTCGTGTGGCGCAAAGGTGTGTGTGTGTGTATACATTATTTATAGCAACTGTTTTAATTTTATAGTTGTTTTTTTTTTTAAACATTTGCGCCGCTTTCGAGACGAGGTATCTTTTGAAATACAATTTGAAGTACCATTTGAAGTACCATTTGAGTACCATTTGAAATACCATTTGAAGTACCATTTGAGTACCATTTGAGTACCATTTGAAGTACCATTTGAAGTACCATTTGAGTACCATTTGAAGTACCATTTGAAGTACCATTTGAAATACCATTTGAAATACCATTTGAAGTACCATTTGAGTACCATTTGAGTACCATTTGAAGTACCATTTGAGTACCATTTGAGTACCATTTGAGTACCATTTGAGTACCATTTGAAGTACCATTTGAAGTATCATTTGAAGTACCATTTGAAGTACCATTTGAAGTACCATTTGAGTACCATTTGAGTGCCGTTTGAAGTACCATTTGAGTACCATTTGAGTGCCGTTTGAAGTACCATTTGAGTACCATTTGAGTGCCGATTGAAGTACCATTTGAGTGCCGATTGAAGTACCATTTGAAGTAACATTTAAAGTGTCACTTGAAGTATCATTTGAAGTACCATTTGAAATAGCATTTGGAGTACTATTGATAGTACCATTTGATTAAGTACCGTCTGGTATAGAATTTGAATTACCATTTAATAAATAAATAAAAATCGTGCTCCTTTACCCTATAATTCAAGACCTGAACAACCAATTAATTACTCGAAACAAAAATTCAGTTGTTTAAGTTCATTAAAACTTTTTTTATTTTTTTGTATATTTTAAAATAATAAAAAAACATGTACAACTAAAAAACAAAGATGTCCTTAAATAGAGCAAGTAATCTAAATAAAGTAATAACATTTTAATATACATTATAATGCCGTATTTTAAATTTAAATTTAAGTTTTATGTGTATTTATTGCAGAGGCGTAGAGAGGGGGGGGCGGGGGGGTGCGGACCGCACCGGGTGACACCATTTAGGGGGGTGACACCAAGGCAAAAAAGAGCAAAATATATAGAGAACTTGAGGGGGGGGGGTTGCAAATCGAAAGTTTGAAGGGGGGGTGCAAATCGAAAGTTTGGGGGGGGGGGGGTGCAAATCGAAAATTTGAAAGTTTATTCCCGGGAAGGGTCGCTACGCCTCTGGGGAGGGGGGGTGACACCATTAAGTGCCGCACCGGGTGACACCCGACCTCGCTACGCCACTGATTTATTGTATTTGTATTTTTGTATGAAGACGACTGGATGTCTGATGGTAGACATCCAGTAAGTGTATTTGATTTTTTAAAATTTAAGTGTGGTTCAATGTACTTCGGAATACTCCTTAACATTGGATATAAAAGTAGGATACGAAAATAGGGAAACAATATAAACAAAGGATTTTGTATTAATGCCAGCCATTGTTTCTTTCAGACTTTTTCTAAGGAGGGGGGGGGAGACTTTAAAATTTCGTGGGTGGGGGGGGGGGGGGATTTTCCCTTGAAGCGAACATTGGTAAAAGTATATATTTTCTATAAAAAAAATTATAATTCAATAGGGGTGAACTTGAAAATTTAGGGGGGGGGGGTGGTGAATTAAATATTCCGGGGGTGGAGTAAAACTATATATTTTCTGTAAAGGTTATATCTCATCCGTGGGGGGGGGGGGGAGGGGGGGGAATAAAGAGAAGACTGAAAGAAACCCTGATGCCAGCGCTAACAAACTGTATTTTTTTTAAACACACAACAAAACAAAATGAAGCGATATATTTGTTTACAATAAATGAACTGAAATAATATGATGAAGTAAATAAAACAACTATTGGTCATACAACTTTAGTATTTACAGCAAACATAGGCTCGTCTATAAGTGACTATACAAATTTGTGGCGTCACGATGGAAAATTGGTAGGGGGGGGGGGGACTGTCACGACAGTCTCGAATTTGGATTTAAAAAGTGATGAATTTTTAAAGGTGAATTTAAGCAACTATTACGATTATTTTTAAGTGGTAGAAGTAGAATTACCTCGTCTATCCACGAAATTTCAAGACTTTCTTAAAACGCAGATTTAGAGAAATGTTATGTAATGCAGTGGTCATTTGAAGTAAGCTTTCCCTTAACCCCTCCCTTTGTCTATAAATGACGTCACGTTTTTTTTTTGTTGAAGATTTTGACCTCGCCCTAAAATATTGACTAAGCTCGGTCAAAATAGAGTATGTGAATCGCTTTCTGTTACAATTTATTCGATCAACGTGAATTAAAGGCTAAAATTTATTTTCTAACATTACTTTTTTTTAAATGCAAAAGTGTGACGTCACACTATCTGAACATCCCTTTACCCCTCATAACGCATCGTCACAAAATTACTGATCCACCCCCCATGAGTGTGACGTCATTTATGGACGACCCCTCTACACCTTTGTTTAGAAATTAAGTTGTTTTCAATCTTTAATTGAGGATATCTGAATCCGTACACGCTTTCTATAGACCATATCACACTCCGTGGGGGGAGGGGCCAGACTTTTGTGACGATGTGTGACGGAACCAGTGGGCGCTGAGAAAGCTACGTCACACCAGAGGCGTAGCGACCCTTCCGACGCCCGGGGACAAACTTTTCGATTTGCACCCCCCCCCCCCTTCAAGATTTCGATTTGCAACCCCTCCCCCTCAAACTTTCGATTTGCACCCCCCCCCCCCCCCCCCCTCAAACTTTCAATTTGCACCCCCTCAACCTTTCAATTTATTTTTCCAACCCATTTAGGCGCCCCCTAAGGTCGGCGCCCGGGGACATATGTCCCCCCCCCCACCCACCCACACACCCCCCCCCCCCCCCCCCACACCCCCAATCGCTACGCTACTGCGTCACACTTTTTGAAAACAACTGTTTTAAACGGAACTTTTTGAGTTAGTTCGCATTTTACGACTTTTTTTTTACTTTCTCATATAGGCCTTCAGTCTTGAGGAAGTATTGTAATCGCGTGAAAAATAGAATTTATTACAAAGCTGGACGTTTGCGGTATACCTTCCTGAGTATGTAAAAGTTTAGTTTTGCAATTTTTTCTCTGTATATCTATGTGTGAACACCATGACTTCAGTAGTTTCACTTACGCTGACAAAATTTCCTAAGGGCCTATAAAGTGACTATAAGTTGTATATTAGATTTGTAGTTTTCTATCACCTATTGAGCGATTTCCAGGAATGGCAATGTAATTATGTTTAAAGAAAGATTTGCATATAATAATTTTAATAGGAGAATTACATATTGTTTTTAAAAACATAATCTTGTTCTACATTATTATAAAAACTATGTTTAATTAACGTCATCTATAAAGCTAACAAGAATGTAAATAAAACAAGCAGAAATGACGTCATCGTTTTTGTTGTTGCGTTCTCCTCCGGTTTTAGCATTTCGGTGTCAGCAGACCTAAAATATTTAATATTTATTTATGAAAGGGGTTACTCTGCAAAATGCAACTAAATTTAAATCTAGATTCCAGTAGAATATTAAAATGGTCGTTAGAACGTATTCTCATTTTTACTTCCCTTGTTTAGTAGCATCAGTATGTAATAATTATATTTAGTAACAAGATCTAGTCTTAATAATAATAAAATATACTTTATATTAATAGGCCTAAATTCTAAATTATTATCTAAATCTAATTATTTATAATTTATAATTATTAATTAACAATACTTTTTAAAAAATAGAAGTAAAGTATAAGTATAAAAGAATGAAATTCTCCATAATTTATAATTTAGACTTTTTAAAGACAGAAGTGCCGGTTTAAATAAAATATATATATTGGGTCCCTTAATTTATTATTAATCCAGTAGGTGCTTGTAGTATTAATGCATTATTTATAGAAGTGAATATTGTTGCCAGATATTTTTAAACAGAAAATTGATGCCTTGGCAAGAAAAAAGTGCAGGGAGAAACATCAGAATAATAGATGTTTAAATAAAAAGCTGAATATCCTTAAATAAACAATTAAATAAATAATTGATTAAATATTAAATGTTGCTCATGTGCAAGAAATGACATGTAGATCTAGAATAGATTCATTTTGATTTTTTATATCCCAGGTCAAAGTATGTTGCTTAAAACCAAAAAACATATTTTTGATTTATTTGTGTTTGAGTTATACCAGAATAATTATCTTAAATTTCTAAATGAAAATGACAGTTTAAATTATAATTATGAATGGAGCATATTACATAAAGCAGGCAGAGCACATTCTTACAGTCAATAAAACATGCAGAATCGAAAAATGTAAAGTATATCTATTTTATTTTTTTAAAATCTATTGACAATATTATAAACATGTTTCTTTACTAATCAAAGATATATTTTCAATTAGAAAAATATGTGATTTTTCTCTTTTCCGTGCATAAAATAATGTAATTATGTAGACCTACATGCTTGTAGATCTTGTTGTCCAAATAACATATAAGAATTTTTTGAGGAGGAAAGGTAAATAAACGAATGAAAGACTGTAAAACATTAACATTTGAAATAAATTTCCATTAAAAAAAATAATCATATAAAACATTAATATTTTTAATTGTTTAAATAAATGTGTGTGTACTGGTTTAAGTCCAAAATGTCATCCCCATCTTAATAGCAAGTTAAACCTCTAAAATGATTATCTTACGTTTAATTATATCAGTGCTTCATATGATAATTACTATTAGAAAAGGAATAGTATTATCTATCCAACATAGTTAGAATATGTCAATCTACCATATCAGAATTATGAATACTCTTCTTGTAGTAATCCTAGATATTATCTCGCATTTCATAAATTTTTCTAACTGTATTACTATCACCACTGCAGTAGGTAATCCCAATATATAGCACCTACTTTTATAATTAGGAGAAAAGTGAGATAACTCTATACAGTGTGGAGTATGAAGGCTATTATAAGGGTGCTAAGTGCTGTTGGCATCATAGATATGTACTTGATGGCTATTATAAGGGTGCTAAGTGCTGTTGGCATCATAGATATGTGCTCAATGAACAAAGAGACTTTACGCTTGGCATGAGGTACATGACTTCTGACAATGCCTTAACATGTAGCTTGGGTTTTTTAAACAGTGGCCATCCTTTGCCCACACTGAGCATAAGAACTCGGCGTCTCGACAACCTGACGAATGAAAATTATAATTTTAATTTGGTTAAAATGTCTAACTCTTTTGTTAAATTAAGGTTATAGTGCTAAAATATAACTGGATAATACTGGCCAAAATTATTTATAAGTAGACGTTGCATAAAAGGGATTTTCACCATACAATATGTAGATTAATGATAATTCACTAATTTCTGTCTAAAATCAGTACTTCTTCTTTGTCTAATTCAGGGGTCTCCAAACTACGGCCCGCGGGCCGAATGCGGCCCGCGATGTCCTCTCATCCGGCCCGCGGAGATCTTTTTGTCCACGGAAAAAACGTTTGTTGGTGATGGCTGAGGAACTCTACCCAAAAAAATCAAAGACATGTCTGGAAGAAACTGGCCCCCGAACTGAAATTTGATAGTTAATGCGGCCCTCGGACTGAAAAGTTTGGAGACCCCTGGTTTAATTAATAGATTTCATATTGTACGCAAGGGAGTTTTGAAATTAAACAAAATCTTGACAGATGCAGAATAAGAAAATAAAATGTAACCTTGGATTAAATATTGAGCAATATAGATAAAGTCATTTTATTAAAACAAATTAAACTTCATTTTTAAAGTTAATATCAAAGAAACTTGACTCCAGTCTGAATTGTTTCATGTTTATATTTAAATATCAAGGTATGAATTAAATGTGTACAAAGAATAATAATATAAAAGCAAATTACCGTTGCAGCTGTTGCATGATTTTTTACAGTAAACCAGGTTGTACCGGGGGTTGCTGTCACAGAAGCCGTGCTTGGCCCAACCTGCGCAACCCTTGTCCTTGTCCTCACACCCTACTGTTGTCACTGGACAAAATTATTTTTTAGATAAGTTACATCAGTAGAACATTTATTTTTTAGATAAGTTACATCACTAGAACATTTATTTTTTGTGTAAGTTACATCACTAGAACATTTATTTTTTAGATAAGTTACATCAGTATAACATTTATTTTTTAGATAAGTTACATCACTAGAACATTTATTTTTTAGATAAGTTACATCACTAGAACATTTATTTTTTTAGATAAGTTACATCACTAGAACATTTATTTTTTAGATAAGTTACATCACTAGAACATTTATTTTTTAGATAAGTTACATCACTAGAACATTTATTTTTTTAGATAAGTTACATCACTAGAACATTTATTTTTTGTGTAAGTTACATCACTAGAATATTTATTTTTTAGATAAGTTACATCAGTATAACATTTATTTTTTAGATAAGTTACATCACTAGAACATTTATTTTTTAGATAAGTTACATCACTAGAACATTTATTTTTTAGATAAGTTACATCACTAGAACATTTATTTTTTAGATAAGTTACATCACTAGAACATTTATTTTTTAGATAAGTTACATCACTAGAACATTTATTTTTTAGATAAGTTACATCACTAGAACTTTTATTTTTTATATAAGTTACATCACTAGAACATTTATTTTTTTAATAAGTTACATCACCAGAACATTTATTTTTTAGATAAGTTACATCAGTAGAACATTTATTTTTTTGATAAGTTACATCAGTAGAACATTTATTTTTTTAGATAAGTTACATCACTAGAACATTTATTTTTTAGATAAGTTACATCACTAGAACATTTATTTTTTAGATAAGTTACATCACTAGAACATTTATTTTTTAGATAAGTTACATCACTAGAACATTTATTTTTTTAGATAAGTTACATCACTAGAACATTTATTTTTTGTGTAAGTTACATCACTAGAATATTTATTTTTTAGATAAGTTACATCAGTATAACATTTATTTTTTAGATAAGTTACATCACTAGAACATTTATTTTTTAGATAAGTTACATCACTAGAACATTTATTTTTTAGATAAGTTACATCACTAGAACATTTATTTTTTAGATAAGTTACATCACTAGAACATTTATTTTTTAGATAAGTTACATCACTAGAACTTTTATTTTTTATATAAGTTACATCACTAGAACATTTATTTTTTTAATAAGTTACATCACCAGAACATTTATTTTTTAGATAAGTTACATCAGTAGAACATTTATTTTTTTGATAAGTTACATCAGTAGAACATTTATTTTTTTAGATAAGTTACATCACTAGAACATTTATTTTTTAGATAAGTTACATCACTAGAACATTTATTTTTTAGATAAGTTACATCAGTAGAACATTTATTTTTTATATAAGTTACATCACTAGAACATTTATTTTTTTAGATAAGTTACATCACTAGAACATTTATTTTTTTAGATAAGTTACATCACTCGAATAGAGAAACGTGGGTTGGTCAAAACAAACATTAAAAATATTCATGTCTTGGACTTAGCTTGGACTAAAATGTCACAATTTTCTCAACAGCTCCCCCATATTGCACATCATCCCAAAAGTAAGTAGGCTACCCTCTGCTGAGGTGCACGACATATTGTATGGTTGACCTAGTTAGATTACCTGTTACAGCTGGATATGTGAATGACCTACTTAAATTACCTGTTACAGATTGATTTGTGTTAGACCTAATTTGATTACCTGTTTAAGCTGTATATATCTGGATGAATTAGCTGTTATTTCAAGATGTGTTATAGACCCACTTAGATCACCTGTTATATCTAGATTACCTCTCATATCTAGATTACCAGTCATTTCTGGATTACCTGTTATATCTAGATTACCTGTTATATCTAGATTACCTATCATGTCTAGATTACCTGTCATATCTAGAATACCTGCTATATCTAGATTACCTGCTATATCTAGATCACCTGCTATATCTAGATTACTTCTCATATCTAGATTACCTTTTATATCTAGATTACCTCTCATATCTGGATTACCTGCGATATCTAGATTACCTATTATATCTAGATTACCTGTTATATCTGGATTACCTATTATATCTAGATTACCTTTTGTATCTGGGTCTATTGGTGTTGTCCCCTTGGTTGTGCCACCAC